TTAATGGCTGCCGTTGACTTCTAAATATCTTCTTTTGTGACCAGCAAATGAAACGGGTTTGAAACAAGTGAGTACATTTTCATTTTTGGGGGATCCATCCCTTTAACATCATGTCACCAGAATAATTATGGCGAATACATTGTGAATATTCAATATATTGCCCAGCCCTATCTTAAATGTTGAATTGTTTAATGCGTGTATGGAAATGCTCAAGCTCTTTTAAATAAGATGTATTCTGACAGGCTGTCAATCTTTTTATTGTTCATCAGCTGAAAAAAAAGCATTCTTAAAGTGATTCCTACAATATCGCTCCTCTTCATACTTAGTTTTAATGCTTGGTGTGAACAGGCCTTTACTACCTGATTTCTGTAAATGAATGAACTGTGTACAGAACAACTGTATTTAGCTGCAGTGTGTATGGGACCAAATATGTGCTTAACAGGAATACAAACATGTGAATAAATCTGGTGCGGTTGACGTTACCTTCTCTCTTCTTTTAGGATCTTACGCAATTTCTCTGCACTTGTCTCCACAGTCTTAGCTTGTTCCTGCTCTTTGGCAGCTTCCTGTTCTTTCAGTTTAAGCGATTTCTTTAAAGCAGTTCATTGACAGGGTAAAATTGGAATAATTTTCAGGAAATTAATCAAGCATGCATGCGTGCAGGCATCCAGCATGAGCAATTTCGCACAAGTGCCGTTTTCACACCCCAGGCATCAGGATGTTAAGCAATGACAAAATGCGAGAAAACATTTTATATTTAGCAATGATCGTGAGATGTAATTACCGTCGTACCAGGAACAGAATACAAACCAAAGGTGGAGGGGTTTTATTTCCACATGGGGCATTTATGTCAACCCAGTGCAATGAGGGTTAAAGGTCCCATCAGTCAGGTTTCACAGGTCCAAGATCAGATAGACACATAAATAACAAAAATACTTCATCAGTACTCCAATAATTGTCAGTTAAAAACAACTTTTTGAGAATTAAAAACTGCAGACTTGATTTATGAACAGTGTATCAGTGCACCAAAAATGAAACGCTGCTGAATATTTACTCACCCTCAGGTCATCCAAGATGTAGATGAGTTTGTTTCTTCATCAGGTTTGTAGAAATGTAGCACTGCATCAGTGTCTCAGCAATGGATGCTCTGCAGTGAATGGGTGCCGTCAGAATGAGAGTCCAAACAGCTGATAAAAACATCACAATAATCCACACCACTCCAGTCCATCAGTCAATGTCTTGTGAAGTGTCTTCTCCATATACACAACATCACTGGGTCCCATCATACAGGCACATGGCTTCTCCTATCATTGCTATGCTGATGACACACAGCTCTATCTTTCATTTCAACCAGATGATCAAGCTACTTGACTTCATCATCATCATTATTCAAAAAATAAATAAAAATAAAAATAAAAATTCTCTCTTTATTTATTCCTTCTCTTTCTAGCTTGTACTTATTTGAACAATGTCTAGAAACTTGGTATTACAAGCACTTCCTGTATCTGTTTGCCTCTTTAAGAAGAATCGCTTTATGTATCCCCAAATTGTAAGTCACTTTGGATAAAAGCGTCTGCAAAATGACTAAATGTAAATGTAAATGTAAGTGAAAAGCTGCGTGTTTGTAAGAAAAAAATCCATCAAGACGTTTTGACTAAAATACGAGTCCATGATAACACTTCCTCCAGTGATAAAGTCCATCTCCTTTTGTCTCTTACATCAAAATCCACCCACATATTTGTTTAGAGCTGTTTTGGCTTGTAAACGCTGCTTGATCTGTGCAGATTTCTCTCCTGATTCAGACCAGATGACTTTTTCATTGGAGAAAGCAATATTATGGTTAGAGGACTTGATTCCTACAAACACACAGCTTTTCACTTCTCAGGATGTTAACTGATGTACTGGAGTGGTGTGGATTACTTGTGGATTATTGTGATGTTTTTATCAGCTGTTTGGACTCTCATTCTGACGGCACCAATTCACAGCTGAGGATCCATTGCTGAGACACTGATGCAATGCTACATTTCTACAAATCTGAAGAAAAAAACTCATCTTGGACAGCTTGAGGGTGAGTAAGATCTCAGCAAATTTTCATTTTGGGGTGAACTGTTTCTTTAAAACATGACATATCTGTGTCCCGAAACACTGGAAGCTACTATTCTGACTAAATTTGCAGTAGCGGCCAACCATGTATTCATGACATGCAGGTTTATCCAGCTCACCTGGATATGTAACTGAAGTTTCGCCAGGGCTTCTGCAGCCTCTTGAAACGTGTCATCTAATACTGTGGCTCTTTTGTAGAGACCCTCAGCGGTCACCAACTTTTCTTCCTCTTCAAGTCTAAGCAGAAAAAAAATCAGAGAGCCATCAAAACTCATTTGGAAGAGTTAAAGGCATACCAAATTATTATAAAATGGACATCCAGCAGTAAAAAAACACAAAGATATTGTAATACAGCCTATACACCTCTGCACAACAGCTGAATTTGACATTAATGCATAAATGAGTATCTACAATGTCTATATTGATATTCTTGAAGGTTCATGCATTACACAGGTGTTGCTGTTGTTAGGATATTGCCAAGTGGCTGGTATAGTGTTTTGGTAGCTGCTAAATGCATTAATATTGGATATTTATAGGTGATTTCTAGGGTGCTTTGGGCAGTTGCCCAAGTCAAATGAGCCCAAGTTTCTATGATATGCTGGGCTCTATAGCTGCACTTACATTGTAAGGTTTAATATATAACAAAATGGAATGAGCGAGCATCTCCGGCTCTGGATTACACAGTAGCCCCTCACTGCAGAACACAAGATCCAGGGGGCGTGGTTGGATCCACATC